GAGTAAGCTAAAAAGACAACTTCTTCAGAGTTCACACTACGAATGAAAAAGAGTAATGTCAGCCAGGTGGCCCAGATTTAGGCTAGAAGTCTAGGATGTTTACCTATGTCACTCTAAAGAAAATAGTTTTTGGTCATACATCCTAGAACATATTTAAACATGTTTCTTAAATATGAAGAGTTAAGAGGTCAAAAGCACACTGAGCTCAACCTAGAAGTCTCAAACACATATAAATGGCTGCCAAGTTAGAAATTAGACTTCAGCATAAAAATGAAGTATCTCTCTCCTGCTAAAAGCTTCTTCTTTTCGCTTGGAAACCTGGATCTCTATTTGTTCCCATAGGAGCGAAGGATCAATTGTCCCTAAAAATGACGATGGATATAAATGAGATATCAGCAGGCAGAAACTTAAAAAAAGAATCTATCTTGAAAAGGTATGAAAGCTTTTATCCACTAAGTTTAAATTCTTAACCCAAACGGTTGCAAAAAATGAAATTGACATTCATTTTTTTGTAGGGGAGCAGTAGACAGCGTCGACCGTCTGGGAGCTGCAGTAACAGAATAGGACCAAGCTAACTCCCTTCCACCATTTAAATAATTGGGAGATAATAAATAATATTGAATAGGGTATGCTAAACGTTAACAAAAGGGACAGTAAATGAAGTGTGTTTAGCAAAAGACAAACCATCTTCCCTATCAAAGTGTTTCAGTCTATGAAGTATGATTAGGATCCATTTCTCAAGTCTTGGCTCATATCCTTCGAGGACTGTAGCAGATGAGAAAACACACAATTAGTAAATCTAATTTAAAAAATAAATAACAGAAGGATAAAGTAAAGAAGTTCAAAGTTATGTTAGGTATCCTAAACTTCATTTGTGAACAAAATTCCTTTCGACCAGAATGGAATTAATTTCAGAATGCCAAAAAAGATGAAACAAACTAACATTAAAACTCGTATGGCCAAAGCAGCAGCAAAAAGAAACATAGCAGTAGATTAATCAGATAATCCGGTAAAAAACAACAGCAGGAAATTGGTTCTCAGTGAGAATAGGGGGGGTCCTCAGACTGAATATCATCATAGGACAGCAGATGATCAAGTGTAGTATACGTCATGTCAGTTTCAATAGACAGATCAGAAAGAGGTTCTTCATTTCCAATTATTGACTCAATTGTATCAACTTCAAGACCACAGCCTGCAGATAATGCATTTCCAAAGGCATTCACTGAGGCTTCATCATAGGCTACAATTGCATCATTTTTCAAGGTATCAACTTCGCCGGAAACACAATCAATAAGTCCATTTCTATCAGTTTTATCAGAAACGCAATCTGCAGGAACTGGTACAACAGAAACATAATCAGTTGGAGCATGAAGAATGGGCCTTCAAAGTCAAAGGCAATGACATAATCAGTTCTATCAGCTTCATCGGTTTTGGGTCCAAATTGAGAAAACCCCAGGGCCTCGAAGGCCTTTTGAATAGCGGCCAGAGGGGTGGCCATTAGGGTAGTCGCAACCAGAGAGTAGTAGAAATTAGAGGAGAAAACCTGGATTTCATCTGACAGGAAAGTTAGGGTCGCCGATGTTTGGAAAAGAGCATGGCTGAGAGTACAGGCAGTGGCCGGGTATAAACAACCTTACCGCTGCTGGATATGAGGGCTTCCTTGCATCGTCAATTGTCTCGTGGTCCTCCGCCAGCGGCATTAGGACGCCGCACAAGCATCGGGTGAGAAGCTAGAGCCACAGAATTAAGAGAGAAGGTAGAGCGAAATGGTAGGCATCTTATCTCAATCAATGAATCCCATCCGCATCTTATCTCAATCAATCGATGAATCCTTTCCCATCAAACATTATTCCCAACCACAGAAAAAATCGGAAGCCATGTAAGAAGACGGTAACAGGCGTTTAGTTTTCGTCGGCGCTAAAATGAGGCTGCCGTCCAACTGTTTTAACGGAAATGGAACACTTAACCATCTTAGGCATTTAATTTAATATAAGGTCCCGTTCCTATCAGGAGCTCCTGAAGAGAAGCTCCGTGCGGACAAGCCCATCAGAGGGTCTTCCCGGTGGAATTTTTTGATAAATTTTTTTAAGCATGTTCCTCATCAAGTCTAGTTTGTTCATACCAAATTTCAGCTCAAAATTCCATCAGGAAGGCAGTCAAATAAATCTTGGAAACATACTGCACATTATATGTGCGCAGAATGCACCATATTTTTTCAGGATTTATTTGACTAACTTCCTGATGGAATTTTGAGCTGAAATTTGGTATGGACAAACTAGACTTGATGAAGAACATGCTCAAAAATTTTCATCAAAAAATTCCGCCGAGGAGACCCTCTGATGGTCTTGTCCGTACGGGACTTCTCATCAGGAACTCCTGATGTGAACTGCCCTCTTAATATATATATATATATATATATATATATATATATATATATATATATATATATATATATATATATACACATATATATATATATGTACATATATATATATACAGAGGAATGATCCTGTCCAGTCGAAGGGACAGGATCTTCCGTCCGGCCGCCGCCGTTTGGGGTGGTTCCCGGTGGAGTTTTTTGATGAAATTTTTATGAAATGTTCCTCATCAAGTCTAGTTTATCCACAAAAAATTTCAGCTAAAAATTCGATCGGGAAGACAGTCAAATAATTTTTTGAAGATAACTGCTCCAACTTAAACATATAAAACACAGTTATGTTTCAAAAAATTATTTGACTGCCTTCCCGATCGAATTTTTAGCTGAAATTTTTTGTGGATAAACTAGACTTGATGAGGAACATTCCATAAAAATTTCATCAAAAACCTCCACCGGGAACCGCCCCAAACGGCGGCGGCCGGACGGAAGATCCTGTCCATCCGGCTGGACAGGATCTTTTCCGTATATATACATACACACACACACACACACACACACACACACACACACACACACACACACACACACACACACACACACACACACACACACACACATATATTGGATCGAGGCCCGGCCCGAACCGGACCCGAGGGTTACTCGGTCCGGTTCCGGGCCTCCCATATCATGAACCGTGAACCGGACGGGCCCAGGCCCGAACCGGCCCGAGGCCAGGCCTAATTGAAGGTCCAACATAGATCTCAAATACTTAGCATTACCTCCACCCAACACTTTAAGGAGGAAACAACAACTGACGGTGGCGAATATTCTGATTGATTACTATTTATTAGAAAATGTATTTCAAGATTTAATTTTTTCCTCAATTCTCAATTGTAGACTTGTAGTTCATATTTCAAATAAATTTAAGTTCAATTTTTATATTAGCACTTGAACGAATTTGTTAACATTAATTATTTAAAAAACGTACCCGACCTGGCCCGCTACCCGCGCGAGTGGCCCACCCCACCTTGGAACCGGTCATCCACCGAGCCGGTCCCAGGCTTCGATTACAAAATAAAAGTCCCAGTCGGGCCCGACCCAGAACCAGACCGGGCCCGGTACACGCCTACGTAGTATTACCCCCGTCCCTCTTATATTGGGACAGAAGACAAAATGGGGGTGTCACAATTATTAAGAAAAGTGGATTTGCATGGTTGATATTAATTGATTAAGTAAGAATAAAGTAAGACTGATTTAGAACCACACAAACTTTACCAAATGTAATACTCCCTCCGTCTAGTTAGAATGTTCCCGGTTTGACCTACACACATATTAAGGAAATAAACTTACCAGGGGATAAATTTTATTGTTTGGACACAGTTTGGACACTAGGACACTGTTCGACACTCATGCACTATTTTGATGTAGGAAAACTTTCCATTTAGGGAAAGGGAAACTTTTTGGGACCTCCAAAAAAAAGTGGGAACATTCTAACAGGACGGAGGGAGTATGAGACAATTTTAATGAATTTTCCGAAAAGGTAAAACGGGACAATATTAGTGGGACAAAGGAAGTAATATTTTATTACTTTATCTTTGTCCCGTGCTTCACGCTAGTGAGAATCTGATAATAAAACTAAAACAACAATTTATTTCATGCACGACACATGTAAATATACTAGTATATACTAAATATTAATAGGTGTAGAGAGAATCGGAGAAAATGAAGATGATTAGAGTGTGAAGAATTAGAAAATAGGTATAAGAAAATGTTAAGAAAATAAGTGTATTTATAATTTTACTTACCCCCACCCCATGCCCACCCAGACCCACCCCAACGGCAGTATAGCAGGCAGCCAAATAAGTCAAACCCCCCAAAAAATAAAAATAAAATGTGACCATTGGGCCTGAACCAGGCCAGTCACCTAAATCTAAGCGTGTAGCCCGCTACTTCAATTCCCAGGTTGGATCCCGGTTGCCAGGTCCGGGCCTGCACAGTCACAGACCAGGCCAGGTTCTGGGTCAGGCCAACTCATCCCGCCTCGGGCCCGGTCGGGCCTCGGCCCGGCCGGGCCTCGGGCCAAGAAAGTTGGGCCCGAGCCCGAACCGCCGGTGGGCGGTTCCGGTTCCGGGCCCAACCGGGCCGGGCCTAACCGGTTCTATTTTTTTTTGCCTCTTCTATTTAACCCCCAACCCCACCCCCTCAACCCCGAACCACCCCAAACCACCTCAAATGGTCCAAAATACCCAATCCAACCCAAAACTTAAAAAAAATTCAAAAAAAAAAAATTAAAAACCGACCCGAACCGGACCCGAACCGGGCCCGAACCGGCCGGGCCGGTTCACCAAAAACTAGGCCCGAGCCCAGACCGCCCAGCAGCCGGGCCGGGCCGAACCGAACCGGTGGACCAACCGGGCCCCGGGCCGGGCCAAACAGTAACCGGGCCGGTTCCGGCCCGGGCCGCCCGGCCCGAGTCCACCTTTACATCCCGGTCCATTCATACTTCTATATTTAACGGATTGCTTCAAGTGAAAGAAGAATAGTTCCTCCGTCCAATTGAAACCCTACAACATAGCTCAGTGTTAGATTTATTGTGCAACTAATAAGGTACTCTAAATGCACCAGAACTATACAAACTTCAATTGCAAAGAGAAGATGCAGTAAAAAGTAAAAACAGTGGAAATGGAGAAAACACGAAGGTAGATGCAGACACATTCTTTAAATACTACAGTCTACAGTTGCCCAATTCTCTCAAGTGTTTGATTTTAAGGTGCAAGTACTCAAAGTACACTAGAACTACACAAACTTCAATTGCAAAGACAAGATGCAGTGAAAACTGAAAACAATGGAAATGAAGAAAACACGAAGATAGATGCAGACACATTCTTTAAACACTACAGTTGCTCATTCCTCTCAAATTAGCGAGAAACTCAAAAACATATGCCATCTTGTGCCTGTTCGTTGGTTCCTCATCCAAGCAGGAAAGTGTGAAGTCCGTAATCTTCTTGGCTGTGTCATCATTGACCTCTTTGAATGACTCATGAACCAACCCCTTTTTGCCATTTGCAGCCATAACCTGCGCATCCTCTATTATATTGTGTGGCCTCATTTCAAAACTGTATTTCTTTTTTGCTATCAGCTCCACTAGTAGAATCCCGAATACAAAAACATCAGATTTCATCATCCTTACACCTGAATTGTTATGGTGATTATTAATTAACAACATAATATTAAGATCAAGGTAATGAGCTATTGTCCTATGCACATCTGAAGGATTTAAAGAACAAACATAGTTATTGTTTCTTCTACTACTTCAATACCTAAATCTCAATAAAACAATAGGAAATGAGAGTCAAAGAGAGATTGGCACACCTCCATAAAGAACTTCATAAGCCTCTCTATAATAAGTTTTACTCACTGGAAGTTTGGAATCTTCATCTATGTGACGAGAAACACAGCCAAATCCAAGCACCTTTATATTCATTTCCTGCATGCCACAAAAGCAACAAATTCATTTTTTATTTTTTCTCCTCAGATTTTTATGTGGTGCGGCAACAATCCGAAAGAACAGATCGACCCCATACCTCATCTACCATAATACTTGAACCTTCAACTGAGCCAACTGCAATCCTCCTTCGATGCAACCATGCCAAGAGTTCTGCGAGTTGAGTTGCCACCCATATCCGATCATGCCACCCAAACTCATCTGATAAACAGAAAGGAGGCATTTAACAAACAGATATAAGGCCGGAATGATTCCAGGAATGTGCTAAAAGCGCAAGACATGCTCCCAAATACACCCATTAAACATACTAGACTGAGAGGAGTTGAAAATACCATCGAGAAGCATTTCAGACAAGAGAACTGTAAATTTCTCGTCGAAGACAGCTGCTAGCCTTTTTTCGTAGCAGTACATAGATAACTTCGCCAAATTTGGATGGTTTCTTACTTCAGGGTCTGTGTAAAACTCGATCAGATCCTACAAAAATGAAACTTTGATGACATCATTGATTACAATAAGGGAGAACTATCAAATAAGCCCTCAAACTTACAAAAAGAGTGCAAATCACCCCTTATATAGGAGGCTTTGTCCAGCCGTCGCCATTTGGGGCGGTTCCCGGTGGAATTTTTTGATGAAATTTTTTAGCATCTTCTTCATTAAGTCTAGTTTACCCATACCAAATTTCAGCTAAAATTCAACCGGGAAGACAGTCAAATGATTTTCTAAAATATACTGTTATGTTTAAATGCACAGTTACCTTCAAAAATTCATTTGACTGTCTTCTCGATTGAATTTTTAGCTGAAATTTTATGAGTAAACTAGACTTGATGAATAAAATGCTGAAAAAAATCATCAAATAATTCCACCGGGAACCGCCCCAAATGGCGACGGACGGGCAGAGCCTCCTATACAATAATGTCACAAACGCATGAAAGAAAACCGAAAGTAAGGATCCATATATTTTGCGCAGACATACACAAAATTTATCTGGCACGTTATAAAAGTAATATCCACCAACAAAGGGAAAATCCCATGTTTTTACAATCACTGGTCGTTTCTCGAAGCCCTTGTCAATGGTTCCACTGAACAATCGTCTTACATACGCCTTCAAACACGGGGTACAGGGCACCTTGAAATCAGTTATGCTTTCCAGCTCAGAATAGGAGCAGGGTTTCACCCCCCCAATTATCACTGGATCCATTGAGAAACTGAAATTGCTTGAATAGAATGAGCACTTTGCATCAAATTCTGATGCTAACACGACATGCATTTGATACTGAGGCTTATAATCCAACTCCTTGTTAAAAGTTTGGTAATAATACATCCAATGACCCCACTCGTGCAACTTCTGTCGTAGGATCTCAATACCTTCTGTGTTATCCCCAGTAGTGAGGACATCCCCAATCTTCTGTTTTTTCTCAGGCGGAGTGTCTGTCATTTTTATGGGATCAGTGATCCCACGACTGGGTTTCTGGTGGCACAAAACAACAACGATAGCTATAAAATATTATCACACATTATATTACTCAAATAAAAGAAGGGGCAATAATAGCAGTATTAAGATTGCTGTGCACTAGTGTCCTACAAAACAGTGGATGGTGACATTATTAAGCGATAAAACGAAACAAGAAAGTCACGCATCTTCTGAGGATTTGTGATTGCTGAGAAGCAGTTTAACAACAAGTTGTCATTCTAAATTCTCCCAAAGGATATCTAAACAGTGGATGGTGACAGTATTGACCTTAACACAACAGTTTTGAAGATATCTAAACAGTTTTGTATAGTTCAGGTAAAACAACAAGTTGTCATTCTAAATTCTCCCAAAGGACCTATGAGGGGGGTGGCGGAGGCGGCCCCACTTATGGTCCTACAAAATCAGTTTACTGGATTCATAAATTGCTGCCCTTGATTTTGACCAGGTTTACAATTATTCGTTCATACGAGTGCTTATACTAAGAAGCGTAGAAGTTTTCACGAAAAGCATTGTAGAAAGTTGTAGAAAAAAGCACTTCATATAAATTATTATTTAAAACTCAAACTCAAAAACGACATCGGATCATTTTGATCTTTGAGGTATTAAAAAAGAATGATTTAAAGCGACGACATTTTGTTTCGATCTTTAAATAAAAGAAAAAAAATAAGATGACATTGAACCAAGTGCCACACTATCATACTATAGTAATGAACTACTTTGGATATGATTGAATTCTTACCCCATTCCACATGATTGAACAAATTTACAAGACATATTTTGATTGAAATGGATGTGATCGGTGGGGCAAGAAATAAACTTTCATCATTAAATTCAAAGAGACATATGTTAATTTATATTTCTATTGATATATAAAAACAAGTTCAAATGGATAATCCATACACTAAGATATGACCAATTTTACCACATGTAACATCAATTGAAAAGATTCACCTGGCATATTTTTATCCCAAATGATATACGATAGTATTCCTTAGGGTTTTGAAAAAAGATGCATCAATTAGGAATGAAAATTATTTACCTTCATGAAACACGTAAGCCTTTAAATTAGATTTCTAATGATCTTTTCATTTCAATTTCATTTACCCCAGTGCCGCAAAGGCTCCCACCTATGGTGGGGTAAGGGGGGATCGGATGGATACAATCTTACCCCTGTACTATAACACAGAGAAACTGTTTCCGGATGACCCATAGTGAAAATCGCGTCCAAAATTGCATGGACTGACTGCTGCTTCATAACAAAGAAGCTCAGACAGTTTAGTGAGTCATTTTGCTTTTATTCCATCATATTCTCAAGCCAAAATGTAATGAATCTTTGGCTCCATTGCAAATGATGGAAGAATGAACCGACAAGTGAACTAACCAGATGAGAAACAGGCCTAACATGACTTAATAGCATAGACTGCATATATGACTGCACTATTTATATATGCCTATGTGGCATTGTGGCATCACCAATCACCATAACAATACATTTTGTACTGAATCACTGAATTATTTTCCACTCCACTTTGAACTTTGGTTGACAAAAAACATTCCCCCACACTTTGAACTCTTGTTATTGCATTGGAAACATTCGAGTATAGAATGACAGCTTAAAAGTGTTTCTGACATATAAGAGCATCACACTATTGCATATTTTTTATTAGAGAAAAGAATTCTTTTTTTTTTATTTACCCTAGTGCCGGAAAGGCTCCCACCTACGGTGGAGTAAGGGGGGCCGGATGTACGCAGTCTTACCCCTGTGCTAAAGCACAGAGAGACTGTTTTCGGATGACCCATAGTGAAAATCGCGTCCAAAATTGCATAGATTGACTGCTGCTTCATAACAAAGAAGCGCAGACAGTTTAGTGAGCCATTTTGCTTTATTCCATCATATTCTCAAGCCAAAAAATAATGAATCTTGGGCTCCATTGCAAATGATAGAAAAGAGAAAAGAATTCAGATTAAAAAAATGAAGATATATTTAGATCATGAAAGAGACTCTAGTAAACAAACAAGTTTGGAGTGAACTTTTAAATACTGGAAAAGGGTTTAGAGGTACTCGTGAAATTTGTAAAGCTAGTTCATGCAATTTATCTAACTTATTTGACTTGTAATGCAACATTAATGTCTATGCAAATACACATACCGTAATGCTCCAATGGAAATACAAGTGTCTTTGAGCAATCAAAAGGCTGGCAATTGTTCCAGAATTCAGACATTGATCATCATCAAAGAAAATGGCTGTCCAACAGACTTCTAAAAGGAATTGCACCTTTTTCTAATTTCTATCATTCCTTGGTTCATTAAAAACATATCAGTGAATTTACAATCGTCAACTCCTAACTATAGTTCTTCTAATACACCAAACCTTGTAATATTTAGAATGCTCTATTTTTTCAAAATGACTTGCCTGCTTTTTTAAGTTGTTCTTGGTTTCATAATACATAAACTCCGATGTAAAAGTGTACTACTATTGTTACACTTATACTCCTTTTACAGTTTCTTTTTACATTTAGCTGAGTCACAACCTAATTAAAATTGCATGGCAATTACTAGATATATCGCCTTTAAATAACGGAAGCTTAAAGATACGAAATATATGTCTTCTGTTGTCAAGGTGAATAAAATGGGGACGAAACACAAAATGGTTGACTTCTTAGTATACGATCTTCAGTTGATCAAATATATAGCAAACTCCAAATGTTTGTGCTTTAACTTCGGATACGTTCATTTTATTGTTATGTTGTTGACTTCTTAGTTCATTTTATTTTCATTTTGCTAGAAAATGAGAAGAATTATGATAGGGATCTACCTATCTTAGGAATTGTGCCTAATAGATTGTTAAGAATTGGGCCTAATAGACCAAAAATAATAATGTGTAATAGATTAGTATAAATAGAAATAAGATGGGAATAGTGGGGAGGCTGTTTTAGACTTGTCTTGGGACTTGGGAAGATTGAGATTAGCCGTCTCTTTCTTTTGGGGGGCTTCGTCTCATTTGGGGGCTTCAGCCATTTGTTATTGTTCTTCAATAAAGTTTGCAGATCTTGTTCTTGATATATCTTTGTGATATTTTTCTGTTGATTACTCTGTGTACTGGAGAATCCTATCATTGGTATCCGAGCACTTCTTTCCTGGAGGCAAAGGATAGAGAATATTCATTACCTGGAACTATGGAAGAATTCTGTACACCAGAAATGGAGGAGAGGTTGGATTCGCTGGAAAAGAAGATCGATAGAAGTCGGAAGGAATTAAATGCAAAATTCAAGGAATTAAGAGCGAAAATGAAGGCTGGCTTTGCAGAGATTAATAACACGAAGAAAGATCGTTCGAATCGATCGCACACTACTCCGAGGTCGCATCGTGACTCTCATCATCGATCTTCGGAGACAGACATCGCAAGGCGGGAGAATAAGATCCAGAGTCGTTCGCGACCTACATTGCACAGGTCGCACCACACAAATAATTCTTCGCATCACTCTTATCATCGATCTTCACATCAAAGTTCGCAGATTCCCTCAACAAACATCAGTTCGCATTCTTCGTCTAAATTGGCTTCTCGGAAGTCAGCCAGTTCAAAGGAGGACTTACCTCTATTCTACGAACCTGAAGCGTACGAATGGATAGGGAGCATGGAAAGATATTTCCTAGTCCAAGCTATTGCAGAAAGATTTAAAGTGGACGTGGCAGGAAAGGCAATTGGGGAAGAAGCAGATGGCTGGTTTCAATGGTGGGATTTTCAAAAGAGGAAGATAATTGGGAGGCTCTAAAAGAAGACTTGATCAGGGATTCCCCCCTACACATCGGCAGGAAACAGGGAAAACAGCTTTACCGGAGTCATCAAGGTCACGAAGAACTTCTTCCAGTTCGCAATCAAGAACTTCTTCATTCAGTTCGCATGAATATTAAGCAGACAACGAAAACAGGAATCATTGAGGTCGCAAAGAACTTCTCGCTCACAAGTTTCTCAATCAGCGCTAGAAATTTACCCGTCCACAAAGAAGACCCAGATGGAACCAACTGAACCTGTTCTCAAACAAGTGAATAAGAAAGACGAAATCAAGGAGAAAAGACAGGTTATTCAATGGTCAGATTATGTTTCTCCTAATTTTGATAACTATGAGGATTTGATTTTCCCGGAACAAAAGAGATCTGGTCCAATGATTCTTGAAGATCGTCTTTATCCTTTCTCTGAGAAATAATATGCTAATGTTCAAACTGGGGCATTGATTTCACATGGAGGTTCACCAACTTGGATGAAGGTTATGAGTAAAGGAGGGATTATTATGGATGATAATGGGGCTGAAACAGCAGTGTACAATCAAAATTTGACTGTTAGGATGCATTCTTCTGTTATGCTTAAAGCCATTCTGAAACCCCAGGTGGAAGAGGGATTATCTGCTCCTTATAATTCAAAGGATCATCAAGTCTATTCTCCAGTTGTGTTATCTGCTATTGTGCATATGAATGGGAAAGGTCCTATTAGTTGTGACTCACCTGTCAACTTAGGGGCGGACTTTGTGGCTGGAGAGCTCAGAATTACAGGTTATATCACTGAGAAAACAACAGGAAGTTATGCGGAACAATATATTGAAGCAAATGGACAGGTGAAATCGAAACAAAGCTTGAAAAGGGTAAGGCTTTACTCTGGTACAGAATGCTGTCTTTTTAATGTTGAAGGACAGGTTCATAACATAGAGGAGTTTGTTGTGGTTCCTGAAGTTCGTTCTGTGGCTGCAAGAGTTTTTGGCTCTTTAATAAGGGAAAGGAAAGAAGAAAAGTGGCCAGACTGGGGACTTTGGCGGTTAGAAAATCTGACATCGCATGGTAGCATTGTTGTGCACAACTTATGTGGGCTGTTGAAGTTTTATAAGACAAATCCTGCTACTACAAATGGTTCTATCATTGACACTAACTGCCTTAAGTGGATGGTAAATGGAGAAATTTGCATAGGGGTTGTTGCAGATTATGAGTTGAGTAACTTGAGCAACATCAAATATGCACCCAGCACATTGATAGCCTCAGAAGGGAGAATCCTGGAGGAGTCTCATGAAAACAAGGAAACATTAGCAGTTAGTGAGTGCTTGGAGGCTACTGCAACAAATGCAATTGCAGTGATTTTAAAGGAACAAATACCAAAGCTTCTGGTTCAGCAAGCAGTAATGTACTGGGAAGGAAGAGGAGCAAGGAAGAAGAACTGGTTGTCTCCTACCGCCCACCTTGAGGACAAGGTGGTTGTTTAGGGAGGGAGTATTGATAGGGATCTACCTATCTTAGGAATTAGGCCTAATAGATTGTTAAGAATTGGGCCTAATAGACCAAGAATAATAATAAGTGTAATAGATTAGCATAAATAGAAATAAAAATGGTAATAGTGGGGAGGCTGTTTTAGACTTGTCTTGGGACTTGGGAAGATTGAGATTAGCCGTCTCTTTCTTTGGGGGGGCTTCGGCTCATTTGGGGGCTTCAATAAAGTTTGCAGATCTTGTTCTTGATATATCTTTGTGATATTGTTCTATTGATTACTCTGTGTACCGGATAATCCTATCAAATTATGTCTCCAATTTTAAGTGACTTTGCTTATGACTTTGATCTAAACTGCACTCACGAGCGTATCTACGGTGGGGGCAGCTGTCCCCCTCAACCCCAACCCAATCCATTAATATATATAGGGTCTAGTTTCGGTGAAAAATGAGAACACTCCAAAACGATGCACATTAGGATTCATGGAATTGCACATTTATGGTTAAAATAATGCACAGTTCAAATGTGCACATTTGTGGTTAAAATAATGCACAGTTCAAATGCACATTTTAGTGCACATTTCTATTTCACATCACGCATAATACTTAAATCCAATGTGGTAAAACTTACATTTTCTTCCCCGAATATGCCAGTCAAAGATGGGGAAGGACATCACGTGCTGGAACTGCAAAGAAATCGGTCACTTAAAAAAACAATGTCCAGCGGGTAGCAGGAAAGGTGGGCAGGATGCTAACGTTGTCGCTGAATGTTCAGATTATGCATTAATTTGTTGTATCGACAGTCCTATTGAATCTTGGATCATGGATTTAGGTGCTTGATTTCATGCTTCACCTTTGTTAGGATCATGGGCTAAGGAGAATAATAATAAGAATATTAGAATAATAACAAATAATTGTAATAGTGTATTAGAGGGGTTTGGGCCATGGGTTTGGGCTGGCCCATAAGTAAGAGTATAAATAGGAGGGAGGGGGAAAAGAAGAATTAGGCAGAAATTGGGATTGGACTGGGAATGGGAGTCGGAAACGACTTGGGAATTGTATTCTTATCTCTCGGTTATTCAATAAACTTTTGTCTTTGATCTTCATCGCCAGTTTTGAGTTCAGAATTACTGTTGAATTATCGATAACCTATCATTGGTAGAAGAGCCACGATCGTGGTACCAGGAGAACGATGGAAGGAAGATTGGAGAAGGTGGAGCGCGAGTTGGCGAGGCGGTCCGCAATCATGGAGCGCGAGTTTGAGAGGCTTCGCGAAGAGGCCAGAATCAGAAGTGAGGATGCCAAGCGCAATCGCGATGAGTTACGCGAGCTAATTCGGAACTGGGAAGATAGTCAATCACGCAGAAGATCGAAAGCACAAAGGCGGTCTCGGAACTCTAGAAGCACAAGTTCGAGATCGTCGATAGCGGTATCTTCCAATTTGTCTTCATTAGCCGCAGGTTCCAGTCCGCCATCGCAAACTGCTTTTCCCAGTTCACAATCGCGAAATGCGTCACCCAGTCCACCGTTGATAGTCGATCATCAGCCATCGATATCGCAATTTCCATCGCAGGTTTCTTCGCAGAGTTCGTCGCCGCTGGTTTCGCTGGGTTTGCAAGCTTCGTCTCAGGCTATAACAGTTGCTACTAGTTCGCCACGGTTAAGTGAGCATAACCAATGGTCATCGCAAATTTCGTCAAAGGTTTCTGAGTCGACTCAAGTTTCTTCCCTGGGGACTTCATCGACAACAAGTATTGAGTCCGCTGAACACTCAATTTTGGAATCAAGTCCTAACAAGGATACTAATCAACAGACAGAATACTCACCAGATATTATGGAAGAATCTGTACAGCTCAAAACTGATATTTTAAGTGTGCACCGTCAGATATCAAAGGGGATTTCAAAAGGCTTGACTGAGTTTGATGGTTTCAGATTTGATGGAGTTACTTCTAGTACGAACACTCAAAATGTATTGGGGAAAAGAATGACTGGAAATTGAAAGAGAATGGATGGATATACTACTGATGGTGACGCTGGCATGTTCCTGAGGT